AGCATTTTAATGCTCGTGGCAATCCAATAAAGTATCAACAAATGTAAATGCGATAATAGTTATGGATCACCACAGTCGAGACTAAAGTCTCTCCTTCGTGATGACTGTGGGAGGTAGGATACAATTTCTCTCATTCATGATGACTAGTTCTGGTGTGAATTGTAACAATTCTGGATCACCACGGTTGTTGTGCAACCTCGTGATGACAAAAATAAAAACGTCATTGCGAGGATGCGATAGCATCCGTGGCAATCCAGATATACACTCTACTTCATGATGATAAGGTTCATTATAAATTTCTTATTTCTTATCTGCAGTTCGGGTTAAATAAAGATAAATAATTAACAAGTTGATACAATCTAGAGTTGATTATGGTGTTCTTTTATGCGACTTTAGTTGTATGAAAGTAATAGAGGAGTGAAAAATGACAAAATTATATAATAAACTTTTTCAAAGCTTAATGATTGTATCAACTATTAAATTTGGGGTTGTAGATGCGAAAGCAGAAACATTTATTAGAGGAGGTTATGGAATAAGCATATCAGATAGACTTAATGATTATGGTAAAGATGGCTATGTTCCAGCTTCTAAGCCAAAAAATTCATGGGTATATGATGTTAGTGTTGGTTATAAATTGAATAACAATATTTTGCTAGATATTGGTTATAAAAAATTTTCTAAATTTAAATATAGTGCAATTGATCCTAGTAAATATTCTTACAAGCAAGATATTAGTTCTGATACTTATACTATAAATACTCAGTATAATTTTGATAATAATTCCAAAATATTCCCATTTTTAAGAATGGGGGTTGGTATTTCAAAAAATAAGCTTGGAAAATATAATGTAATAAACCTTGATGATAACTCCAAAAAATATACTTTGGATTCAAATAAATCGAATAATTTCACTTTTAATATAGGAGCAGGGCTTGGGTATAAAATAAGTGAAAAGTTATATGTAGATTTTAGATATGAATATACTGATTTAGGCAAGATTAAAAACTCTAGTAAAGTATTAGAAAACACCATCCAAGAAAATATAAAACCTCCAGTTTCTTCATTGAAAGCAAATAGTTTTCATATAGGTTTTTCTTATTATTTCAACTAACTTTTATATAGGTAAATAATGTCAAATACTTTTCACCATAAAGAGCAACAAAGAAAAAATGAACAGTTAATTCAAGAGCATCAAAAATTACAAAATTATATTATAGACGCCCATAAAAAAATGCAGGATCATTTAATAGATTCTCATAATCAGGTAACTGCATTAAATATGAAATCTATTAGTAATCCAGCGTTTAAGGTGACTGGGTGGTATGCAAATTATAGAACTTATCAAGCAGATTATCAGCCAGAGAATATTCCAGCTAATATTGATCAAATCGACTATGCTTTTTTTCAAATAGGAAATTGCAAGCAAAACCCTGATACAGTTGATTCTCAGTGGAATAAGTATAAAAATTCAGGTGAAGTGACTTGTGAGCAAGATCCAAGCGCTTATTCAACAGGGAAATATGATTTACAAATTTACAGTACTGATCCATATTCTGATTTATA